AGGAGAATGACAATTATACTGCTGTAACCCTAAAAATTATTACTGTTGTATCCCTGATTCTGCCTATAAATACAAGGCTTTCGTTCTTAATAAAACACACACAAATTCATTGACTTCTTTCTGTTCTCTTCTATTTTCTTCATTTTTATAACAATTGCTTGATTTTTATTTTTCTAAATTTACTTGATATTTATGAAATTTCTAATTTTTTCTCATAATCCATAAAGATAACAAGAATTTGCATTTGACCTACAAATCTGCAAGAATATAAATTAGAAATCATATGACAATAGGTTAGTGAGATCATGTAAATCGAATTTGATAAAAAAACAAAATAAAATTAAACCCATATAATATAAATCGAACCAATACATTGTCCCTTTTGGTGGGGACGATTAAAATCATATTTTTATTAATTTTTGATAAAAATTGATGAAATGTGTAGTTGAAAAGTTATAAGTCTCATAAATATGTAGTTAAAAATTATTATTGACTTTGACTAAACTTTATTACATTCTAACATGATCTGTTTTGAATCACCTGAGCGGATTTAAAATATGATGTGCGCCAATGGTGGAAGCCAGAGCTATATGTCTCACCCACTACCAAGACTAACCTTTACCTTCTACCAATCATGTTTAGATAATAAAAGGCCATTTTATGTTAAAAGAGCGTTGGCCCAAATTGATTTTTACATGCACAACCCAAATGACATGTTGACTTAAATATGTCATGTGATTGTGGCTCCAAAATCAATAAGCTCTCTAGAGCTGCTAAAACTCAACTGCTACCTAGTAAATAAAACTTTGAAAAATATATGAGTTGATAAGTTAGTGAGTGGAGAATTTTGAAAATAAATTTGATAAAAAAAATCGAGTTTACATCACTTAACAATTTATAATATAACATCGTATAATAATAATAATAATAATAATAATAATAATAATAATAATAATAATAATAATAATAATAATAATAATAATAAAAGACGTGAGACACTCTCATATTACTAAAAAATATCATCTCATAATCATGATATAATTATCAAGGTAAAGTCGAAATATTTTCATTGAAAATTTTCATTTTTATTGGGCCATTGACACAATTACTATACATCATATAGAACTTTGCGTAATATCAATATTAGTAATCAATAACCAACTAGACACAGTCTAATATACCATCATCCCATGATCATTAGAATTTCGCTAACTGCCTCCATGATCACCCAAGAAGTATCCCACCCAAGGTCCCAATAATCACAATATCAATGTTGAGTGGACAATCTTCATGTGATCGCTAAGGATATATCCCCTAACAGTCCCCATGATCACCCAAGAAGTATCCAACCTCGAAGTACCAATAATCATTCTATCACAAAAGCACAGTCAAGTGGTCAATCTTCACATAATCATCAAAGGCACATCCCCTATCCACTATTGCAATCATTGAAAAGTCTCACTTGCGGCCAACACAATTGCATGTCTTGATGTTCTAGTAGTGATCAGTAAAGCATGTTTCATATCCCAATTTTACAAGTAATCCACATACAATCTTTATAATTCCACATATATCATGTAGTTGAAATAATTCACATAACTTCACGTAACGTAATAATATAATCAATTATCAATATTGAAAAATATTTTTCCACTCACAGATTTATGGATAAACATTTGGTCAAGTTCACGAGCATTTCCAAACTTTCACATCACTCTATGAAATAACGTTATAATTACTCAAATTAAAACCTAATAATTAAATTAATGCAAATCTATAATGTAATTCCTCAACTTCTATATTTATCATTGCATCTCTATTTTCCTAACTTTTATTTTCTTTGATTATTGCCAACCAATCACCACATATAATCAAATCCATTAATTACTCATATTTTCTTAAAATCACTGCCTTATATAACCCCTATAGATAGTTTAATCCAATACCTAGACTTTAATAATTGTCATTTAATTTCATTGAAATTGGAAAAATCTGAGAAAATGAACGTTTGACAAAAATGGCACTAAAACTTCAGAGTATTGAAATGTGGTACAGGTGTCTATATATGGAAATGTGTCATCGAAATCATTTCACGATTACAAATAAAATTTTTTATAGATCACACTTTGTTCATCGATTATAAATTAATAAATTTATAAGTTACAATTTATTTTACGAGTTAGAAATAAAAATTTTTATAAGTCGCAACTTATTACACGATCACAAATGATCAAATTATTAGTCACAAATTAACAAATTTTTTAGGTCACACAATATTTATTCGTCACAATTTATCTATTTTATTGGTCACATATTACTTAATGGTCACATATTAACTAATTTATTGGTCAGAATTAACAAAATAATTTATGATACCACTGCCTCCAATTGCACCATTGTCATAGCCGCCGCCACCACCATCATCTCAAACAAACCAATATCCCAACACTAAAAACCACTACTACTACACAACCATCGCGACAGCGACGACCATCGCCAGCACTACCATCATCGCTTGCACCACCACCAACACAGCCTAACAGCACAGTCACCGCACAACCATCACAAAACACCGTCAACCACAAAAAAACCACCTACAAAAAACCCCATCACACCATCAATTGCAGCGAAATCTAAATCTGTATATCGCTTCGTCACCACCACAAAAACAAAATTTTCTTTCATGAGCAACAGCAACGTCTCCAAACCTACCACTACGACACTACCACGGCCATTATCACACACCACAACCAATATCTCCTCTACATCACCTCTGCCAAATCTTCCACCTGTCACCAGTATGCATCCAACACCACATCCTCATATCTCAAATCAACAGCCCAGTCGACTAATTACACATTACCATTTTCACGCGTGCCTCTCCATCCACAAAGTCTCCGACCTCTTGACTTAAGACGAAGATCAACAACATTGATTCGCACAACCAATTTAAACATCCTATATCCTAATTGGCCAATTGAACTAGCCCCTACCACACATCCACACGCAAATAGCAATGGCATCGAGCGACTGGAGATGATAAAGACAGCATCCATCATCGCCAATGGTGCAGTAGCGAGCATAGAGGCAACGGGATTGAGACAAAAAAAATCTTGTAACTCTTAATTATGAATTGAGATCTTGAAAACACTTAATCTCTGTAATTTTCACCATCCTTAAATCAAATGTTTTATATAGTATACACACTGGTGAATCCAGCACCCGGCGAGCCCCCGCGACCGCGCGTGCTGGATCCGTTGGAAGCCATTTTTTTTCCTGGTTGAGAACAGACAAATATATAGTATATATTACTGATAAGTCATTTTTCTTCTAAATGTTCCTTCTAGCCAAGTTGGTTAGCTCTTCCATTTGCTTCTTTGATGTCCCATGTTCGAATCTGTCCACCAATTTATTGTATAAATTTTTAGTTATACAATTTTTACCAAAAACCATTGAAATAAGAAAAGGGCCAGTGGGGAATCAAACCTATGAGCTATTCTAGGATATAGTGAAAGCTTAACCATTACAACATTGGATGAGTTGTGATACAAAGTTTATCAAAATAATATATGTAAGATTTTAATGGTTTTTATGCAATTTTAAAATTCTAACACCACGCTCTTCCTTTGAATTATACAAATCAATAATGTTATTTGGTTAGTACGATTTATTCTTCTAACAAAATTATATATGTTCAACTTCAACAAAATAATTATTTTATTTAAATTTTAAGCCTTGTTTGGTTCCCATTTAGTTCATAATACATTTTTCTTTCCCTTATTTTTGATCAAACATTCTTTAATAAAATAATATTACGCGTAAATTTGAAATTTTTTATTATTTTTAACTACACATTCTCCATCAAATCACAATTCCAAATTTTTATTTTTTTATTTTTTATTTTTGCTGCAAAAAATGACGTCAAACGAGCCCTTAATATTTTATTACGACCGCCCGTGTTGACTCAACATCCTGGATTCGCCCCTAAGCATACACATAATATTATAAAAATTTAAACTCTACTTCATAAACCCATTTCATATTTCTTTCGATTCAACACTAATCCTCCAATATACATTTTTGTCTACAATAATATTACCGTGTAATACCGTAAATACAAATTAAAAATTATTCAATTCTTGCTAAAATTTGAAAATATATATACACCCCAAAAATTTAATTAACATACCTCTTAAAAATAGGATAAAAATTGAAGATTTGATGTAGTCAAATTTTAAATCCTGAAATAATTAAATTTTTCTAAAGTTTGGTATGACGAAACACTGAGATTGTCATATAATGATCATTAGGATATAATTTAAAATTTGGGTTCAATTGTTTAATGATGGAGGTTACAACGGACTTATTTAGTACAATTGTAGAGATTTGACGTAGAACAAGTCAAAATAGATGAGAGATAGGAAGGAATGAGTCCAGTTCAGTTCTCCTCAAATTAACTATAGACAACATTTTTTTTCTTCCAATTACGTTTATAATAAATAAATACAAATCAGTACCTTTATTATTTGTTACATATATTGTTTCATAATTATTCATATAATAACACTAATCCTAAAATATAGAACTACAAACAAGAAATGAGTCTTGCATTTATGTTACAAGAGTCATGATTTAATTGATATAAGTAGGGCATAGGAAGAGAAAATAAAATCTTTTGAGAAGTCCAAAAAAAAATAAAAATAAAAAAATAAAAAATAAATTCTTCTGAAATTTAAAAAATTACTTTTGGGCTATTTGGATAACTTACTAGTAGAGCTTTTATCAGGTTAGAAAAGCTTTTAGAGTTAACAGGTTCAGCTTCCTCATGAATCTAGCCTACAAAAAGCAGAAGCAAACCCAACTAAACAAGCCCTAAATATGCTATTTCTATAAGCTCAAAGATACATTTGTTCCATATATTCCTGCAGCAAGCCTTTTTGGCAATATTTGACATGTTAAACTGGCATAATTATATAATTAAAGAAAAGAAATACATAAACTTTCACCAACTGAAGTTGATATTTGATTATGATGGTGAGTGTTATATGTAATTTGAAACAATGCTTTGGCCTCTATATTCATATTCTGTGCAAATAACACATTGCTCTTATAATATTTAAAGTTCACAACACAATAATATAAATTATATGTACTCATTTCTTAATGGGCATCTTGTTTTAAAGTAAGAAAAAGCACCAACTATTTCATATAGAGTGCAAAATTAGGATCTTTTGCCATAAACTTCTAGGCTCAAAAGTGCAGGGCCTCCATCTTGGGGCTTAAGGGATCTTTCTCTTCCACTTCTTCAAACTCCGACTTGTATATTTCATGGAGAAATTTCTTAAACAGTTGAAGGCACTCGAGTGTGAACATTACTACAGGGGACGCCACAGATCCTTTTATTCAGACCTCGTCTGTCTCCATTTGCTTTTCAGGTCAACAACACAATAGTTTGAAGATTTTAGTCAATTTTTATTCTGATATAATTTCGAATGCTGTCTAATTCTCTCTTCCAAACAAGACACTCAGTTTTTTTTCCAGTGACAAAAACACTGCTACCTCAGTATCAAAAAGTGTTTCCTTGCATCCATTCCAGTGTACAACATAATCAAATGTCGAAGAAATTTAGAAAACAAGATTCTATCAAGCCTCCTGAATGGAACACAAACAGTCATTGTGACAGTACCTACAGTTAAATGAAACACGTCCCTATGGAAACAAATCAATCAATCAAATTCCTAATGAAGGTAATCAATTCATCCCACCAACTCTCCACTCCCTGGTTCAATATTCTCCTACTAGTGTCACTCTTCTCAAATGAAACATTATTCAGAGCTAAACACACTTAACAAGTGAACAAGTACTTGTCTCCTATTAGAGATGTATACAGCTGATGCAAATTAATTATTTGTCCTAATTAAATAGTCAAAGGAGTCATAAAGTCATTGTTTAGTCAAATGCAAGTCTTTATTAAGTTTTAATAACGTTTAAAAATGTGAAGAATTTTATTGTTTCCCTATATTAAAATTAATATGCAGCAAGTGTCTAAGTGAAAGTCTAAGAGTCGTCATTTCAAGAGTCTAGAAGTCATCATGTAATAGAAAAGAGCTTATGAGCCCATTTGACAAGGGTTTGCTCCTTGTAGAAAAGGTTCACAAGGAAGCTAACTTAATTAGTATTTCGAAACATTTTTAAAAGAGCTTTCTATTTTGGAAGAACTTTTAGAGTAGCCACATTAGATGAACTTTTTCTAAAAGTCTTCTAATTAGAAAAACACTTATATAAAATTAATTGAACGAATCCAAAAGCAACTTTTTGATCTCAAAAACTCTTTTAGACTTCTCAAAAGCCACGACAAACGAGATCTATATGGGAAAGAAAAGATAGAACATTAGCATTTGTTTGGCAAATTTATAAAGTGGAATAGTAGTATGTCCTACGAAATGTGCGGATAAAAATGCGTAGTAATTATGAATGCATGGTTAAATTTAATGTTTGACTTTAACTGAATTTAATACCAATTTATCCAATCGGAGCCTCCATTTGGCAACCAATCTATAAATGACTTATAAATTCAATTAAAGTCAAACATTAATTTTAACCTCACGTTCGTAACTACCACCCATTTATTATTCAACATATACTTTGAGACCCACAACTAATCCATTACATAAATTTATAAATTTTCCAAATGTTGGCTAATATTGCTATATCTCTTGCTTCATATTTTCAGGTTTTCGTCCACAAATCTTTAAAAAAATAATAAAAAAAATAAATAATAAAAAAAAATCTAGACTCCAAGTGTGGTTGGAGTATCTAAATTTGCCTACAATAACCGTACATATAGATAAGCAACTTAAACTATCTTTTAGAAAGAGCCATAAAAAGTAGAAAAGTCTCATTCCATGCATATTGAACTTGAGGATATCGTTTACACATCAGCATGTCATGGTTTCTCATGAAAATTTATTTCAAAGGTTTAATAAAATAGCCACTTTGAAGAATCAATCAATTTCACTTTTTGTGCAATTGATGTGTTCTTGTTGGGAGAAAACATTAAACTAGTTATGAGAAACATTGATGGCTCCAGCAGAAGAAAAACTAGAGAATCTAGTAAATAGCTTTATCAATTAAAAGTGAATAGAAGATTAACATCAGAAGACCACCATAAAACCCTCAAGGAAAACAATTAGCCTTTGGGTGAAGTTGATTCTTTGAGAAGTGATTATGTGAAAAATTTGTTATTTTTTTAAGAATATGTGGTTAAAGGGTAGGGAAAAAATTATGGGCAAATGATCTTTTTTAGGGAAATGTGTGGTTGAAAATGAGTTTTGGTGAAAAAGTGATTTTAAAAATTCAGTTTCAAACAAGGGATTCATATTTATCAATGTTATCAGGTGAAGCTTTTGTTAAAAAATGGCTTGAGTCATCAAATGCAGATCGCAGATTGCAGATTGATATTCCCATACTACACAATTTAGCTTTACCAGTTTAAAACCGTGGGGTGAGAATCAAAGAAAAAAAACTGCAAACTATGTCAATTAACCATCTAGAATTACAAATAGAAACTGTTGGTGAGAATTGATTCCTAGTTATGGAAATCAATTTCAAGTCAAAATCAGATGTAACCAGACAACAAAGATGTATGCATCAAATGCATTGTTTTCTATATCCATTTCATTACTTAGCGCATTTATTCTAAAAGCACTCATTTTCCCTGCCACCACCGTGACCCAATCGTACCATTTAGCAAAACATCCTTCTTATAGAACTTATAATTACATGGATAAACTCCTATTTTCACAACATCACATTTCACCCTTTTTCCTACATTAAGATAAGAGTATTGCATAATTTCACTTCATCAAATTAAATTTTGAATTAATCGAAACCAAATCTAGCATAAGCTTAAAATAATCTACCGAGAATACTCCAGAGGAAACCAGCACAATCAACAAGTTGAGATCAAATTTGCATAAAATTGCCGGTCATTATTTAATTCAAATATTCAAAATGTATCAATTTCTATCAGAAACTGCCAAGTTTTTGGATAACTTACCTCAAAAAAATTCTCCTAACACCTTGAACATCCGTAAAAATCATAAGTTTGTTAAAACAGATTCTCCAAAACCCTCAATTCAAGATTCTTTCTTTTGTTGAGAACCATCCAATGTTTCCTACTTTATTTCTCATCCCGATTTTTCATCATCCCCTAGGCTATTCAACCTTTCTTTTTCTTTTTCTTTTTCCAATTCCTTCACAGCCTCTTCCTCAGCCACCTTCTCAGCCAGCAAAATTGGCGCATAATAATCAGAATGAGCTTCCATACACTTTTTCAAAGCAGCAGTGGCATGAAAACACTTCTCCACAATATCTTCTTTGTTCTTCTCTCCTTCTTCCACACAATTTTCCCACTCTATAAAAGTGTCTTTACAGCCACCCCCTTTCATAAATAAGCAAAATCCACATTCCCCCTCCTCCTCCTCCTCTTCTTCGCCTCCATTGGGTTCTTTAATTGATTCTACTGAATCTTTTTCCAAAAGGGTGTCTTCTGCTTGATTTTGTAGGGTCTCTGGCGTATCCTTATTGGATCGTGGATCCAAGAATTCTTGAATTGGGGTTTCCGATTCGGGTTTAGGTTCACGAATTTGAGGGGAATTTAAGGAAGACATTGTGGTTGTTGTGGTGCTTGAATTAGGCTTTTGTGTATAAAGTGTAGAGAAAAGGTCTGCAATGGCTGCTCTTAAAACCTCACTTCTTGACCCACGCACGCCACCCCCCCCCCCCCTCTCTCTCTTTCTCTCACACACACCCACACACACACACACATAAAGAGAATATTTCAGGAGCCAGTTGAACCTCATTATTTATAGATTATAATGAGATAAATAATATTTTTTTTAAATAAATGGTTGAAAAATTTTTAATTTTCGTGTAATATTATTTTATTGAAGATTGTGTGGTTAAAAGTAGGAAACAAAAAAATTTAATTTAATGTAATGAGAAATAATGTGGCTCAAATTGGGGTTTAATAATATTTAGCCTCGTTTGAGAAGAATTTATCAATTGTTTGGTGAATACGTATGAATAATAATGAATAATGCACCTTATCCGTGGGTTTACACCCCTCATGCATCAATAGTTTCGTGAATACGTATGATTAATAATTAATGATAATTAATATATGAAGTCGATTAAATTTATAATTTAATATCCAAACTGAAGTTTAGCCCTTTTTGGCATTTTATCAAAAACTCATTTTACACAAAATTAATTTTCAACTACATATTTTTCAATAAAATAATTTTACATGTAAATAAATTTTTTTTCTTTTCTTTTTTCTGAAAATGAAGCTCAAACAAAGGCTCAATTTATATACAAATAAATTGAAGAAACGAACACATAAAAAATACGAAACAAAAATTAAAGTCCATCTATTGTCTAATTAGTAAAAGCCCGTTTGACATGATTTTCGTTTGAGGAAATTACAGCCTAACCGGCTTTTAGTATCCCAATTTCCAAAATCAAAGAATACCTTTCATATTTCAATAATTAGGTTTTAATCCTAATTTATGTTAAAATGAGGAGAGAGAATTTTTAATTTAGTAAACTATATCTCTTCCTTTATTTCATTCTACAGTCGTACGCACTCTCCAATTAATCTCAAGGTGCCTAATTAAAACTACAAAATCCTCCCTATCAGTTTACTATTTGAGAGGGGCAAAGCAGTGTCAAGGTTTGTAAATGGGATCTTTGTAAAATGGCTATTACAAGGAGTTGTGAATGGAAATCACGATTCAAAGCAGGCAAAGCATCTGAAAGTGAACGTGAAAACAGAAGAAGGCCGAAAGTCACAAACGGAGTTCGTGAAGAAACTCCCAAAACTCTGACTGACACGCGAAAACCCAAATCAAAGGAGGTAAGTTAATTTTGTTTCCTTTGAGATTATGGATAAATCACTTTTAAAATTTATTGGGTGAGTATGTACAGCTAGCTAACTATAAATTTGGTTGGAAAATTTTCCAATTCAAGAAATACGGTTTATATTGCTAAATATTATGTATATCTATTACCGTCTGAAAAAATGGTGTTTTATGTTTGTCTGTGACCTATTAATATAATCCTTGTGACCAATATGTTTTGTGACTATTATGGTGGGTGTGTCCAATTTGGATTGTTACCCGACTGCATGGAAAATAATGTTTCATTTTTTTTACCTGGGTTGTGTGAGTAATCAACACAGATGAAAAATTAGGCAATCTTTCATAGTGGGTCCTAATCAACTACATTGAGTGCTGTTAATTTCAAATGTATGGAATATGTATTGTGACCAACAATATGAACAATATGGAATGTATGGAATGTGTAATGTGTTTCATTTTCGTTTGTGACCTATTAATATGTTCCTTGTGACCATTATGTTCTGTGACTATTATTGGGGGTGTGTCCAATATGGATTGTTACCCGGTTTCATGGAAAATAGTGTTTTCATTTTTTTCATTTGGGTTGTATGAGTAATCATCAGAGATGAAAAATTAGGCAATCCTTCATGGTGGGTCCTAATCAACTACATTGAGTGCTGTTAATTTTTCAGATTTTACTTCATATTTTATTTAATGTGATGCAGGAATGGAATATATGAAATCCATGCCTCTAACGTTTGATGCTAGTTGAGCTGAGATTACTTTTTAAACAAAAGGAAATCAAGAAGCCGACAAAGCCGATGAAGCCAAAGGGAGAGAGCATTCAAATATATTGATTGTAGAATCCTAGTTTAGTGACTAGTAGATGTGCGATGTTTATGAATGTTGGAAACATGATGCATGAATATTTTGAATCACTTATGTTCGTGAAATAGATTGGGATTGCGGTTGCTCACGTGTCTTTCGATTTTGTAATAGTTTCGCGTTTCTACAATTGTTTGAATGTTCCATATGACTTACACTCTATCAAGTCACAAGTCTTTTATTATCATGTGGATGTTATAAGGCAATTGTTAATCACAAGTTAAAATGTCACAGATTTGTTTGTCCAAGTCACAGGTCACATATTATCATATCTATGTTCTAATTCAATTCTTAATCAAAGGTCACGGATTTGTTTGCCCAGGTCACAGAATTGTTTACCCAGGTCACAAGTCACATACTTATTTGCTTAGATCACAAGAAACGATTTTGTGTACACAAGTGACATGGTTACAAATTTTAAATTTATGATCAAATGTCACAATTCACATATTTGTGTACAAAAGTCAGGGCTCATAGGCCGTGTGCACAGGTTACAATTAACATTTGCACACTCAGATTACAGATCTTTGTGCATAGGTCACATGTCACAGTTTTAATAAGGCACCAATATCTGAAGATCACAAAATAATGTAATGATATTGTCGAAGGTCACAGTTCTCTAACTTTAAAGCATACGATATAGATCATTGGTCACAGATGTTATTGCGACCAACATCTACAGGTCACAATCTACGTATGATACGATTCGTATGTCACAAATACCTTATTTCGATACCATAATCTCAGATTTAGTAGGGCATAGATCCCACGATGAAAAACTCCATAGGTCACAAATGATTTTATAACATTACTCGTATGTCTCAGATGTTGGATATCAACAGCAAATCCCAATACTGAGGTTAGCATACCATTATTTAATTTCATTGGTCATTGAACACGTTGTGTAGGTCACAGATTATACATGCATAGTCATTTTCCAGTGTTCATATGTCATATATCTATCAAAATAGTTACAAATTATTCAGATATGTGACTGTCACTAATTCTTCTAATCTTAAAAAGCCTGTTCTCCCCAACCTTGACAATCTGCAAATCCAGCTACACCCCTCATGCGACCACTTGACAAAATATTCCTTCCTAGCTGAACGAATGACCGCAAACTCAAACATGTTTTGAATGGCATAAAAGACATGCTCAACTTCAGGACCTCCTTATTACAAAACACCCTGCCCTCTTCTACATTTCTTGCTTCAGGTTTGAATACAATTGTGACCACATATACATCATCATGTCCAGATGGTTCGACTACTGCTTCGCAAATGTTGGATGATAGTTCCTGTAGTGAAAACAACGATCCTTTGGAAGATAGATTATCTTCAATAGGCCCAGCAATTAGGTAAATGATAGATTGTTGTTCGAATTTTGCAATTGTGACCTCGATGTTTATGGAATATTTGGATGGATCACGCTCCATACCCTTCAGTGTAATGTACGACAAAACGTTGTTCTCACTATTTATCCTGACAGGAGGCAAATCTACGTTCAACAAGTAGCTCATTGTGACAGCGACTTTTGTAGGATCCAAATCGAATTCCGTCATTACTGTGTCCACAAGTTTCACATAAAAGAGATTACGATCAACCAATACTAATGATGAACGGGCCGCGTATAATAAGCAAACGTGAACCCTTTCCATTTCTGGAACATTTAATGCGTAAAATTTTAGGTCACAGAAACCACTATAAGTTGAATTCATTAAGAAGCAAATTTCGTACCAAAAAAAAAAAAAAAAAAAAAAAAAAAAAAAAANCAATATAAATTTAAATTAATAAAAAAAAAAATTCGCAAAAAAAAAAAAAAAAAAAAAAAAGAAAGTAAAATGCAAACTAGTCACAAAGCCATGTTTCAAGCATGGACACATTCTTGTACGATTTTCACATCTGGGCATGCGGGTTCACCATAACCATATTTCCAATCTCCAGAACTATGGTCTCAAATCCACAAACACACCTCTTCATGTCACAGTATAATGCTTCACATGTGCCAGACGACATATCAGGAATGAGACATTCGGAATCCATAAAGATGCATTTCGAAGACGATAGAAAATTTTAGTACAAAACTGGTCAAATATCATACGTTTCAATTACAGATGCATTCTAAATTGCTTTCGTAGCGTGTCGTGTGTATTCACAATAGATGTAATTCCAATATGTAGAATTGCAGTTATAAAATCTCATTCCTACCAGTTCTATGACAACAGAATTATATTTGGTCACTGACCCATACTTCGCGTGTTAGTCACAATATTTCATGATTAACTAGTTTGGCATTCATAAACACCACGGACACCAAACGTTCATGAGTAGAAAATGCACACATATGTTGTTTGCGGTGAAACCCTGTTTAGATGCAAACATCAAATGCATATTTGAGAGACGCGTATAGGTACTTACCTATTGTTTTTGTGACCCGAATCAAACCATTGTTTATCAAATGCAAGTTCTGTCAACGACTATGGAGAAAAAATTTACAGTTGTGATAAAATTTACAGTTGTGATATCGTGTTTGTAGCTTTTTCCCCCAAACGAGGAGGCCGTTTTCATGAAGATTGAGGTTCAAATTGGTATCTGCTTCTGTGATTGTAGCATCCATATCCATTCATTCCATTTGTTTATATATTTCATATATAATATATAGAATATATTATATATAATATATAGAATATATTATATATAATATATAACCATTTATGACCTAAAATTTGAAATATAATGGCATGTTTCTTAAATTTGAAATGCCACTTACTGTATACCTGTCTTGTGTATTGTTCCCTTTTTGTTTCCTATATTAAAGTTTGAATAATTCTCCCTGTCCCGGGTTGGGGACAGGGAGGAAGATGTGGCACCCTTGTCCCCAATCCGGGACAGGGAGCAGGATTTTAAAAGTTTTTGGAAGACCTTATACTATTTTTTAAAACTCTTCTTATTTCCAAAGTACTTTTAAATAAAGTCCCATTGGACTACCTTGTTCCAAAAACTTTTTTAACTACCAAAAATACTTTCATAAAATTAACTAAACAAATCTAAATATAACTTTTGAATCTTCAAAATTCCGTTTGATTTTTCAGGAAGACTGCAAAAAATTGAAAAATATTAAAATAATTATTGAGGTTCTTTTATAGTAGCACCATATACTACTTAATAACAGTGTTCTATAAAGTTCCTCTAGGCTCAAAGGTCGAGCAAAGCGCCTTGTTTCGAGTCTAGGCATTTCTCTCTCTCTCTTCATTTCCTGAACGACTAAATTTTTTCCTTCATTTCATTCGTCTTCCGTAAACACCCGAAATCTTTTATTTGACTTTACCTTATTATTTTTTTTTTCAAAAAAATCATTTGACTTTAAATTCAAGTTTTTAAAAGATTTTATCTGTACAAAACTTAAAAAATAACTTTATCTAAAAAGAATAATTAGCACATTTTTTTGAAAAAATATCCTTACTTTTCATTTTTTTTTATATATTTTTTTTATTTTCACATTTCATTGAGTAAAAAGTCATGTTCATCAATTTTCTTAATTTAAAATTATGAAATGATAAATATACCATTCTATTTAAATAAAAAAAAAAAAGAACTAATTGTAATCATTCTCACAAATTTTTTTTAAAAAAGTGCAAGTAATTTCCAAATAAATTAGTAAACATCCCCACCTTTTGCTATTATCATAGTGAAAAGGCCAACACCTTTCATTTTTTTGACAGTTTCACCCTTAATTATACATTTAATTGTTCAAACCATCATTTCTATCCATTTTTATCCAATTTCTTAATAGAACCTGTGAAATGACAATTATATCATCCTATTTAAATTTTTTAAAAAAAGAAAAATAAATAAGCATATCAAATTTCTTTTTTCTACAAGAGATAGATAAGCTCTTTTTGCCATCTCAAATCGAAAGTCTGTACAACGAATTACACACGCAGTTAGTGATGTCAACGAGCCGCGCCAAGTCCAAACTCGAGACTTGAGCTCGACTCAAGTAAAATTAAGATAGATTTTTTTTGACCTAAGCTGAATTGAGCAAAAGCTTAACCAAAAATTCGAGGCTCGACCCAAGTTTTTGGCTCTAGCCATACCGAGCTGAACCGACTCGTTCTTTTTTTTTTTTTTTAAAGGCAACTATCCCCGCCCCCGGCTTTTTTTGAAATGAGCTGGCCTATCGCCCCAAAAATGGGGCTTAATTCTGCCGAGGCTCGAGTCGGGCCAACTCGAACTTTTTTCGGGCCGAACCACGAACAGCTCGAGCTAATTGTCATTCCTACACGCAGTAGATAAACAAGTCAATTACCACATAAATTATTTAATCTTGCTACAAATACAAACAATTTTGACAGAAAATGTTTACAAATAACATTTGTCATACATTCATTGGAAAATGAAAAAAATAAAAAAGAAACAGGCGAATCACATTTCGCCAAGTCAACTTCGGTAATAATTCTATCAAACATTTCATGTACTTGTGGCTATTTCCAAAATTATTTATGCAATTTGCTCTATTTAGCAGCTTTTGGAAGGTCGGAAAACAGAAACGAGAAACTAAAGAAAGCTTATAACGATGGTAATTATCATGGTTGATGCATTAAGGTGAACTATAAATTTAAACAGTACAGTACAGATTTATGTTTCTAACACATGAGAACTTAATTCTATGTAAATCATGATGCAGCAATAATCCACAAATAATAAATTGGTTCAACCATTCTGTTCACCCGCGTTTGGTTTAATCCCACTGCAACAGAAGAAGTGTGGCAGCTTAACTCGACCGCATACCCTGCCAAAATAAAGCGTTTAAAGTGTTTGCCATATACTCTGATTTAACTCGGTGAACAAATATAGCGAGAAAATAGTTATTCTTGTTTCTAGCATTTGAACATGATCTGTCAATCACAGTCTTGAACGACCCAAAAAATTAGAAAGTAAAAAGTACATTCGTGCGATTTCTTTCCAAGTTAAAAGAGCTCACCCTCTGTGTTTCCAGGAAGATTTCTAATTGAATGAACATGTAATTTACACACGCATATGGACACTATAGAATCTACAACATAGATAAGAATCCTGTCTAGGAAATTTTGATCCTCAATTCTTTTCATTGCCAACAACTTTTAAAACAATATCTTCGTTGTTTCTATATAATGTATCAGACAATGAGTTAGTGATAGAAACCCAGTTTCCGTAACTTAATAGATGAATTCCTTCGCTGGAAATCTGCAAGAAAACAGCTAAGAACACCGAGAGATCACAAATGGTTTATGAAGATGATTAATTGAACTTTAAAATAACAGACAAATTCCAAGGCTATTAGAGAAGCCTGGTCTCCCCCACCCCCCTCTAACTGAAAATCAGTAAAAGCCCACCTACATTCCCTTCCCATCCACATTTTACTCATTTCCCTTTCAACAGCACTATGACCATTATACCCTCTATTAACTAACTGAAGCTGAGCTGGCATCCCTCACACTGGTTGTAACCACTCCCTTCTTCTTCCTTGCATATGTGAATCTTATTGGAGGTCTCTATCAGTACCCCCGCCCCAAAATTCACCTTGGACCCAAACTGTCTCAAAGGGCTCCCAAGTTGCCTCATAATATGGGAGATTCTTCCACTTGATCAAAATGTCAGGACCTGCAGCAGTGTGGATATGATTAGGGCGAACTCCAAGAACGGTCTCTGGTTCCAAAATGAATTCCCCCTTAGCAGAAAGCTGTGAAGGAAGGGCAGAAATGGGCTTGACATCACCAAAGGCCTTAAGCAGTTGGGATACATGGAAAACGAGATGAATAGCTGCTGAAATAGGGAGTTTTAATTTGTATGCAACCCTTCCCAGATTCGACTCAACCTCGAAGGGACCATAGTAACGGGGAGACAACTTCTCATACGGACGCTTAGCCAAAGATTTCTGACAATAGAGCCAAAGTTTGAGATAAACCAAGTCCCCGATCGCGAACTAGACATCACGGCGATGCTCATCAGCCTCTTGTTTCATCTGCAGTTGCGCTCTAGAAAGCTGCACCTTCAACTACTTCAACATCTCATCTCGTTCCGGTAAAAGTTGTTCTACATAAGAACACGGTGTCAGCCCCCTTTCAAGAGGCAGTATGTGGGGTGGATCACTGCCATAAACTATTTGGAACGGGGAGTGTTTCGTTGTGGTATGGAAAGACGTGTTATACCACAACTCAGCCCAATGCAAAAACTGACTCCAAGCTTGAGGCCTATTCGAAGCAAAACACCTCATATATGACTCCGGGCACATGTCCACAACTTCCGTCCATCCATCCATTTGTGGATGGTAGGCAGTATTATGTTTAGGGGCAGTCCCGCGTGCTTCGAATAATTCAGCACAAAATGTACTCGTAAAGATGCGATCTCTATCTGACACAATAGAACGAGGTAAACCATGCAAGTGGAGTATCCCCCGACTGAATTCCTCAGCCACTAGGGGGCAGTGAAAGGATGCTTTAACCCAATGAAATGTCCACACTTACTCAAACGATCTACGATGACCGAAATGGTGTTGACTCTCCCTGATCATGGTAGCCCTTCGATGATATCCATTGATATATCCTCCCAAATAGATTCAGGAATTGGTTGAGGCTGTAATAACCCACCCAGAGATTAGGCCATATATTTGTTCTGCTTGACATACCCCACAACCTGCCACATAGTCCTTTTACCCTCTTCTTTATTCCTTGCCAGTAGACTTCTTTTGCAATCCTCTTATCTGTCTTAAAGAATGCCAAGTGACCTCTAACCTCAGAGTCGTGGCATTCTTGTAACATAAGAGTGACAAAAGTAGAGAGGCTAGGTAGACCCTCCCCTGATAACATAGTATGCCGTCAATCATAGCATACCCCTCTTTGACACCGATCCCAAACTGCAGCTCAGACACAAATTTCCCCAGAATGCCATCGGCAACTACCTCTTTCTTCATGTCTTCTAATTGTAGAACTTGGGAAGTGGAAAGAGCCAAAAGATTCAAAGCGGGCTAAATTCTAGAAAGAGTATCTGCAGCTTTATTCTCTAACCCCAGGTGATATTGGATATCAAAGTTGTAGCCCATGACCATAGTTAACCACTTTTGATGATCCTCACTCACCACACGCTGTTCTAATAAGAACTTCAAACTTCGTTGATTTGTACATACCACGAAGTGTTTGCCAAATAAGTAGTGACGCCACTTTTGGATGGCGAACACGATGGCCATCGATTCTCTCACATATATAGTCTTTAACTGGGCACTTTGTGGTAACACCTTGCTGAAATACGCAATAAGGTGGCTTTTGCATTAACACTGCTCCTAACCCATGACCAAAAGCATCTGTCTCAATAACAAACTCCTGGGAGAATTCAGGTAATGCTAGTACAGGAAGACCATCACTGACTTCAAATTCTGAAAAATCTCCTCCATTTTGTCATCCCAGTGGAACTTATCTTTCTTAAGTAGTTTAGTCAGGGCCATGCAATCTTGGCATATCTTGACACAAAGCGTCTATAATAGCCAGTGAACCCCAGAAATCCTAGAAGCTCCTTGAGATTGCGTAGGCTCGGCCAATGTACATTACCTCTAGTTTTGTTTGATCTGTAGACCCACCGTTCCATTCTCAGAAATAACATGGCCAAGGTACTCAATTTCCCTTTGGCCGAATAGGTACTTCTTCTGATTGGCATAAAGCTGATGATCTTGTAAAATCCCCAGCACTGTACCCAAGTGTCACTGATATTCTTACACCGTCTAACTGTAGACCAAGATGTCATCGAAAAAGGCTAGTACGAACTTCAATAAATAAGGTATAAACACATCATTCATCAAGTACTGAAAAGTTGCTGACGCGTTTGATATCCCAAAGGGCATGACCAAGAATTCATAATGCCCTTCATGAGTGCGAAAAGCAGATTTTGGGATGTCTAACAACTCGTCGATCACGGGAATCAAAAAACGATCGGCATAGTCCCCTTGGTAAGTGCCCAATAGTCTATACAAAACCTCCAACTCCCGTCTTTTTTCTTCATCAAAAGAACTGGACCAGAATAAGGACTAACGCTGTGTTGAATAATTTATTGTGCCAACATATCTCTGACTAGTTTCTCTATTTCATTCTTCTGAACATACGGATATCGATATGGTTCAACGTTTTCCAAAGTTGCACCAGGCTGTAGAATGATGGGATGGTCCCTTAACCGCGGAGGTGGAAATTCATTGTGCCATTCAAACACCTTGCTATAACTCTACAGTAATTCCATAAATGAGTTGAGAACCTTAGTCACCTTCTCTCCGAGCTCTACCCCCAAACTTCCTAATTCTAGCAAGATACCCTATTCCCCTACTTTAAATGTCTTAACCATCGACTTCAAAGTCACCTGAGTTGTATCCAAACTCGGATCCCCTTGCAATAAAAAGATTTCCCCGCTTACCTTAAAATGCATAGTTAAGGCTTCCCAATTCACTTGCATTTTTCCTAGAGACTCTAGCCATTTCATTCCAAGGATCACATCAGTATAACCCAATTTTAACAGTAAGAAATCTTCGACTACCTCAATGTCCAACAGTGAAACCACCACCCCTTACAAATTACCCCACCCTTAACCGAAAGTCCAGTACCCAATTGGACATCGAAGCTTGCTCAACCTGACCCTTGTAATCCTAATTTTTGAATGAGCTCATCAGAGATAATTTTTATGGGTAGCTTTGCAGTGGATCAAGACAACAATAGGTTGCCCCAAAATTTTATAGTCTTGGGTGTGATGAGACCAACCACAAATTTTATGGACACTCCATAGTATCCCTAATTTTCTCCTCTTCCTCCTCGTCAAATTCCTCCATTGCTCCTCACCGTTGTCCTCTTGCACAACAAAACCCGTGGCTCTTTATTTCTACATTTGTGTCTCGAGCTATACTTCTCATCGCAGCGATAGCACAAACTTTATTCTCTCAACTATAATTCTGCCCCAGTAAATCGTTTGAAAGGAGACCCAGCCTTCGTTGTAGTCGCCAAATGCTGCACCATGAGTACAATAGTCATGGGTATCACCGTAAGGGCTTGCTATGTTGGTGCCCTAAGATGGGATGATTGATTTGGGAGATATATTTTGGTTAATTGGGCTGTTTGGTAATGGGCTGAACATGGGTGGCTGGGAATTATAAATTTTGGTTTTAATTGAGCCATTCCATAACTGGGCTCACAGTAAGGAGCCATTACGGTCCTCAACCTGTTGGGCCATTTCCATGATCTGGCCAATCCTTGCAGCCTGATCATTCTCACTACAGCCTTAATCGTCAGCCTAAGTCTGTTTATGAAGTTTTCCTCCAACACAATTCCTTGAATCTTCGGTAGAGGTGCAGCAAGAATCTCAAACATTCAACGGTAATCTCTAAGCTTTCCGTCTTGTTTCAATGCAAAGAATTTCTCAAGAAGAGATCCTTCTTGCGTTGGCCCGAATCTATTAAGCAATCAGCATATTGAGAGAGCTGTACTCTCCACAACATGATTTTCACTCACTACTTTGCATGCCCAATCCTTTCCCCCTTTCTTTATTTATAGGCTATTTGTAACTATTTTTCCTTCCCATTTTTACTCTCTAACGGACTAGTTTTCCACCCACTTGCAGGTTGTTCTTCTTCTTGGTCATTCTAGAATGCGTGAGGTGGATTGGAGCCTATCAATACCCCCCTTTTCCAATTCCACCTTGTCCTCAAGGTGGGAGTCAAGTGTTGGTGATGCCAATTGCCTGCTCTTCCATTGTCATGATTCCAGTAAGGAAGATTTCCATCCCTTTTGAACCCCACAGATTTGGAGGTGTAGCTAGCATGGTGTATTTGAGTCCACCCAGGTCTTGGGCTGCCATACCCTCTTGCTTTGTGTCTTTAATTAGTTGGGTCATCTTCATGATAAAGACCACCCTACTGGCCATAATAGACAGACTTCAGCTTAGGTGTTTGATTTTAGCCCAAGGAAAATAAGTGGACTGAAGCTAATAGATGGGCTGTGGGAATCAGTTTTGATTCTTGATGGACCGAGCCTAAATTGGGTCTATTTTAAATGCTCATTTTGGTCTTCTTCATGCTAGCCGACTTTCCTTCTAAATCCATCTAATCCAATAATTTCCATTTGTTCCTCTTCTCTAGATTCAGCCGAATTGTAGAGATCATTTCCATCTCCAATCTCTTCTCCTTCGAGAATGGTGATGGTAAGATTTCTATTAGAATCCAGTGTTTTTTTTTTTTTTTTTTTTTTTTTTTAACAATCATTTCTTCCCAGCGACTCCAACCATCAACACTTTCTCCTACTTCATTGGATTTGGGTGTGATTTTCGATTTCCCAGTGTTTCCAGTCAGATTAACCAGCAAAGGGGCTTTAGAAATCGTCGACTCATGCAAGTTCTCTACCATCTCTTTTTCCTTCCTCTCTCTTTCCTACCCATCCATTTTTCTCATCATCAAATCGAGCCTTGCCATCATTCTAGACTTTGCTCTCTGAAATTCAGTTTTCATTGCACCTAACTCGAATTTTAAGCAATTAGTTCTCCCTTCTAAGGACTCTACTGGATCGTTGAGAGTCATTTTCCAAGGTCTCAATTGCTTTGATACCACTTTGATAGAACCCTAGTTGTTGTAACTTAATAAACGAATTCCTTCTCTGGAAATCTGCAAGAAAATAACTAAAAACACCGAGAGATCACAAATGGTTTTATTAAGTTGATTGATTGAACTTTAAAATAACGAACAAATTCCAAAGCTATTAGAGAGGCCTGGTCTCTCTTCCTTTAATTGAAAATCGGTAAAAGCCTACCTACATTCCCCTCCCATCCACATTTTATTCATTTCCCTTACAACAACACTATGACCATTATACCCTCTATTAACTAATTGAAGCAGAGCTGGCATTCCTCACATTGGTTGTAACCACTCCTTTCTTCTTCCTTGCATATGTGAATCTTATGGGGGTCTATCAGTTTGTAATAGGAGACAGGCAGATTATGTTAAACATTGTGATTATCAATTAATAGAAGTTTCACTATTATTAACTACTATTTCTGAAAATGATTAAGAACCCCAGTGTCTCAGGTTTATTAACAATTATGGAAATCCCACTTAAGATGTACTTAAAAATGCATCACAACTCTATATATAACACATTGCAAATACTCAGTGGCTCAAAAGATCGGGTTTTCCCATCAATTCCTCCTAGAGGATGTCATTTGCATTCAAAACAAACAAGTCAAAGTTGACTTCCGATAAACTATAACACTCCAAATATGTCACTACATCCTAATAAACGATCATTTGGGATAGCGACATTTTACCAATCAAATTTGATTATTTTAACACCCGTCGTCTTGAAAATAATTCACTGCATGATTATGACAAGACAGAAATATCAAGTTCGCATGTGAAAAAACCACTGTTTTTCCATATACCTTGGACATGGGGCAGCATATTTTCTTGTTATCAAACAATAAACATAAAAAGGGTTTCTTTTAAAGAGATTCCTAGGTAAAAATATTTGCTTTTACTGAAATTAAACTAGAAAAAAAAGTGCTTATAAATTATCAAAATGCAAGAATTGCAAGCAAAACCTTACTTGCAACGGATGATCACTGGGACAGGTTTCAAAGCCTTTGGTCCATTCCTAATGCCTCTCTTGTGTGGAGAAACCTGCACGAAGCATTTGGCAATGAGTACTCAAAGTGTTTAAGAGCGAAGCACTAACATTTCATCAAATAATTAACTGCTTTGGACCTTTTGGGCCTCAAAATGGTGAAGTATTTCAAATATGAGTAGGTAAACCCATAGCTCTAAGGAATATTAGATGTATTAGGAGAGGATTTTTTGAACAGATTTTGGGGGGTTCACAATACTTTTAGACCCACCTGACTCTCCTAGAAGTCAAATCGCCAACAACCTAGTGGGTGCTATAAGCTGCAAGGCTCTCTAATGCACCAAAACAGAATAAAAAATGATTTACTCTAGTAACCATCTTACATACTAAAGGAGCATAAGGGACAAGAAACACTCTCGTTTTCAACAATACATTCTCCCAATAATTAATTTTACACACAAACTAAAGCTTTTCACTACTTTTTAATCACACATTCTAAAAAAAAAATCACTATTCCAAAATCTACTACCACAAGTGCTAAACTAGATTCTGTACCACCTACCACCTGTCTACGAAGGCCCTAATGGAAGCCACGAGACCTTGGACACCACTATTCTATAGACACATTAGAGTATTTGTACAAGAGTGTTTATTGGTAGTCTTGTATATGGAGTCTACACAAATGCACACGACTTGCATCTACCCGCTTGACACAATCTTCAAAATGATAGAATATCTTCTAGAGATATTATGGCAATTTAAATAGGATTTAATTAGGTAAATATGTGTTGGAAACATCTAATTTGGACATGCAAAGATGGGTATAAAATCAGATTTTAACCAAAAACAAGCACCTCAAGCAAAAGCCACCACATGCTGCTACTTTTAACTTTTCTCTCTCAGCCTTTTCTTACCTCCTAGCAACCATTCATGACCCAAACGCTCCAAACTCACATCTTAAGCTTTCTAAGTTGGTTCCAAGTGCAAGAGAAGGCAAAGGAAGCAAAGAGAAGTAGAATTCAATGAGTTGAACCCTAAATTCTGGATAGCTTCACAAACTTCAAAACCCATATTTTGATACACATTTACTAAAAGAATTATTCTTCTTGTATGTAATCACAGGAGGGGGAACCATGATTTTTTTATTCAGCGTGGGCCCCCCTCCCATGTGTCTAGTTGTCAACCTCGATTGTACACATAGAACAACAGTTACTAAAAAACCATAAGCCAAAATATTTAAAATTTTTAAAATGATGATGTTGATATCAAATGAGGAATGGATGAAACAGAAACCCGAAAATAATATCTTATTTTTTTGTTTCTTATTCTCATTTATTTTCTTCCAGTCCATAGAAGTAAAGACACTTAGAAATCGAATAGCTAAATTAAGGATTAATGGCAGCCGTATTCTCCAAATCAATCTACTACTGGACAAATTTCATCACAACCAAGCATTTCTGCCACCAAAACCAGCGGAAAAACCCAAATTCGAGAAAAAAAATCAAATGAATGCAAGAGACAATCTCACAAATGTCATTAACAAAAATACAATTTACTAAACCCTTACGAAGATAAAAACTATAATACAGCATAATACAATCCAAAATCGGAGCTATCATACAAACCAAAATAAACTAGCTAAAAACTAGTTCTCAAATAAACTAAATACTCTTTCAGTGACTTATATTACAAAAATTTAAATCTTCGGAAGAAACTAAAAAATTACCTTCCTTTTGGGGACAGCCATAAGCTCCATCGAGCCACCTATAAATGACCAATTCGGAAATACATCTTCGATCTCATTTCTGTATTTATATTCGGGGAAACCCAACGGCGATGACGTGCGGTTCATGGTGGTAACAAGAGGCGGTGGCTGAGCTATCGCGTGCGCCAATCGCCGGAGTGTTCCTAAAGTACACCCCGTGCTCGAGAAGGCGCATTTTAGGGTCGCTACCCTTAAAGCCATTTTAGTTTTCACTGCGGTACGGCTGAGCTCTGTGTTGTGTGAAATCACGAGTGAGAAATTTCAGCTATAGAGCAGTGGAGAAGCCATATGGGATTGACATACAAATCAAATCCAAGTCCAACTGATACAAATGGGCTTAAAAATGGGCTTTAAGATATTAGGCCTTAAGATACTGATCAAACCCGAACGGAAATGCACCAACCTCAAATTTCAAGGGACCTCTTAGGAAAAATGAGCCTTAAAAATTTCTCCAATCCAGAAACCCCTTAAATCCATAAAAACAAATGGTACACGCTTAGAGGAGAGGAGAAACACTTAGGGTTGGACAAAACTCTCGAATCGAATCGATCGAATCTGAACCTGAACTCGAATCGAACCCGACAGTTCTTCTCAAGTTAAATATTTGAACAGGTATTTGAATCAAGAATCGACAGGTATAGTTCGATTTTCGGTTCTAGGCCAAGACTCGAAGAACCGAATAAGGACCGAATCTCCGTAAATTCTTTAATTAATTTATTTTAAATAAGTAAAATTATTTTATTTTTTCTAAATAAATTTATTAACTAGTGAATTTAGTTCAAACCACAAAATATGGTTTTCCTATTTTTAATTTTCAGTTCAAAATCAATTTAATCAAATTGACCTCAATTTTATTTAAATTTATTATTCTACTGTAGTGTTATTTTTATCGGAGAAAATCGAATTAAAAAGAATTAAAACTCTACAACATCTCTCTTAATTATTTTGAGCTCGTTATCTTTCTCTTTCTGTGATTTTAATAATCAAATTTATGAAAAATTCAGCAAAGAGAGACGTGAAACACATAAAATTAAATTACATTATTTTGTAAGAGCTAATATTAAACATATCATTAATTAAATTAATGCAACTTTGTATATATTAAAAAATTTAATTATAATACGGAACCGAAAGGATCCGAATCAGATTGAACCGAATGGAACCGAACCCGAACAATTCTGTAATTAAATTTGGATCCCACGATTCCACTCACGGAATACTCCAAAATTTCGAATCGGTTCGGTCGAACCGGACAATTTCCAGCGCTATGAACAGTCTATTTCTCTCTTCACTAAAAAAATCTATAATTCCCAATTTCCCACACACAATTGCTACATCTTGATTCTCGAAGGTTTTCAAAAATCTCAAAAAACTCAAGGTAAGGTTTATACTATTGTTCCGTCCTTTTTCCGAAAATATTTATAATCTGAACTCATTTGTTTTATGTTTTTGAAGATTTTGGGCTAGAATATTGGGATTGGAGTTGAGGAAAAAGGGTCTAGAGGAAGAGAATGACCACCTGGTGAAAGAGAAGGTAGTTACGATTGAAGTTATCGTATTAAGTTTCTGATTTGTTGTTTTGTAGACCTAGGATGGTAGTTTTTAATTCTCCACTGAATTTAGCAGATTGAAACACACTACTATCGCCATCTCGTTCGCCTCTCCCGGCCAACACCATCCAGGCTCCTGCCAAGCATTTTCGGTGAATCGTTTTATTTTTATTTTTTAAGTTTTCTTTCTAATTCGATTTTTTGGCTGCAATTTCAATAAGTAATTAAGTATGAGTAATGAATGTTTACAGTTTTTTGCTGCCTCCAGATATTGTCTTTGATGAATCTTTGTGTTTTTGTTCTATAAGTAATTAAGTACGAGTTCTGCACTTTGGATCATTTTGAATACTTGAATGTTAAAATTAGTTCAGGCTGTAAGGTTTAACTTGATATTTGAAACAAAAATTGTAACAAGAACAAATGCAGTATTTGTAATTTTTTTTTTCCAGCCCCCAACATATTGTTCTGGGTCTGCAACACTGTATAATCCCTTTTATCTGTTCTTCATATTCCCCTATATCATATGGTAAATTATGTTGTATGTAAAATTGGATTTTGTTTTCACTTATTGAAATTATTATAGATTTTTGTATTACAGAGATAATTCACGGTCAGCTATGTCTTATATGAGAGGGGATTTACTATCTAAAACCCGAAAACTAGTCAAAGGGTTAGCCAAATCCGAGCCTGTCTGGCTTAAAGCCATGGAAAAGTACGTCTTTATTGTTTTTGCCGATTCTTTACTACGGTCTTGTAATCTGTGCATAATTTTTAAGGTTATTATTCTTAATTTGTTACATTTGTAAAATTCAGGGCGCCACCAGCTACATTTCCTCGTGCGGAGAATAAGCTTAAGCCCATAAGCTTGCCGGAGGATGTTTACATCAGTAAATTCTTTCAGAAGCACCCGGATTCAAAGCATGAAGATCCTATCAAGTAATTTATTTAATCTATTTTGCATGTCCTTTTTAGTGTTATCTACAAAGTGATGTTTAGTTTGAATTTTGCTCTGTTATCCTTAATATTTTTTTTTTGTTGCACTCTAGATATATTTATGAACTAGAAAGGAAAATGGAACTTATTTACTTTTGAGTGTGAAGCTATGTTACAAGTGCTTTGACATTGTCGTTACTAAAGCTAAAGCTAATATGCATTTTTGTTGTGATGATTCTCTAGCCATTTGAGATGACACATTATGCTGAGCTCGTAGTTGTAGGGATTAAGTTCAGAGTAATCCAGCTAAGCTTGAATTTGATTCCCTGCATAGCTATCAAGTACTATTGTGAGAGTACAACTATTGAGACATTTTCACTGATTTAAAATTGAGTAGATTTATGGTTTAGACTATGAGGCTGTTTCCATTAATAGCTTTTCTTCACTTGTTTCCTACCAATGCTAATGAAATTTACTTCGAATGTGCTCAGCTGTCTAATATTTTCTATTGACATTTGTAGGTGACCTATCAATTTAAATGTTCCAGATTTTCAGTTTTATCATTCCAAAGGAGTTAGTAAATACCCAAATCTTTTTAAATTCTCAAGACAATAAACACCTGAGTAAGTAGATAAGTGGATGGAATTGGTAGTCACCACTAACAATTGGAAATTACTCGTTTCAATTTATTGTCTGCCTGCTACTTAATAATTATGTTTCAATATAGCCTATGATGTAAACACAGAACTTGATTTTACTGATATGGCAAGCTGTAAATAGATGAGAATGCCAATCATCACAAGAATTTTGTATGTAGTGATGAAACTATTTCAATTTTAGCCCCCGTTTGAGCCCCATTAATTTTCATTACATTACATTTTATTTTTCTCTCTTCTATTTTCAACCACACAATCTTCCATAAAATAATATTACACGTAAATCAAAAAATTTTCCTTCTTTTTCAACTACTCGTTTTTTAAACAAATACTATTCCACCCATTAATTTTTTCACGTAATGGGGGCCAAACAGGGGCTTAACAGTCTCTTGAGAAAAGTTGTGTCATCCTGAATTGTGATGAATGATGATTTCATTCTAATTGAAGATGAAGTTTTACTCAGAAAAAGAATCACATCCTAATTCACAACATTGTATGTTCTTTCGGGATTTATAAGTGGAATAGTTGTAATTTTGCTAATGAATCTCCTACCACCTCCCAAAATCCAATAGGAGAGCTGTACATGTATCTCACATAACTGCAGGCATATTTAGTATTTAGTAATCATGGCAATCAAGATGGATATAACTTGATTATTGGAGATAAAAAAATAAAAAAAAAAGAAGCAAACGCGTGGTCTTGGAGATATATGAAGGTGGTGTTTAATAAAACCGAAATCTGAACACTGAAGTTTAAAGTTCTTGAACTTAAATAAGATTCTGTATTCTGAAAACTAAAGATTCAGTGTCAATTGTCTGAATTCAACTGTTGAACTTGATTGAATTTTAAATATTATTCTTTATTTTTCACTTTGTTTAATTGTTTCTTGCATTAGTTAAACCAACGCATAATTATCAATAAATGATCTTGTACCTTTTCCAAACCTGGGAGAGGTGAGTGAGTTTTGGTGCTTTAGAGAGGGAGGGCATTCAAAGACGTCTGAAGGATATTTTGTTGGAATGAAGTTGTCTGCCTAGTCTCTTATCTAAAGACTTAATCACTTGACATACATAGCATTAAATTTTATTAATCTCGTAAAAATGAAAGTTTTGGCCTCCTAGCAGTGATACTTGTGATTTTAAGCGGCACCACTTTTGCATCATAACAACACTAAACTTAGAATGCTACATCTTCAGTTTCAGTTGCTCAGTATCGTTACTAAACATCCCCTAAGTGAGTTCAAATTTAATGTTGAGGATTCACTTTCTTTCTAGTTTGATAGACTAGCTTATTGCTAACAAACAAAATTCAATTGCCTGCACATGTTATGTTCCAAAGTAATCGCTCAAGTATCTTTAAAACACTTTACGAATTCCTCTATGTATGGGATCACCCGCAGTTAATTTTCTGAAAAAATTCTTGTTTCTGCGATGTTGTGCTTTTGCCCTAATATGGTTAGGGATTTTCATTGCTGATATTGAAATTCGCAAGTCAAGTACGAGATGTATTCTGTAACAATAATACCAAGTCAACAATACTAGAAACTAAAACTGGAGTGATCCATATTCGCCATGCAGAATCTTGATTAAAACAATTCATAAGTGGTGAAAGAAGCAAAAAATTAAACCCCTTCATTGTGTTGGTGAAAGCTAAACAGAAGCAAGCGGTGTTATCATCTGACAGGAAGGAAAAGGATGTTATTGAGCTTAGTAGACTTATAATTTATGTTTCCTGGGCTGAGACTAAAAAAATCAGTTAAATTTATATTTCCAGATTGTTTGTTAAATCATTTCACATTTCAACAGGATTAGTGGTTTTGACCCGCCTCCGGCCCGTGTATTTGGCTGGCGAGTCCTAGAGTTGAAGGAGCAAGGCGTCAGTGAGGAGGAAGCTATGGCTGTGGCTGATGTATGTATTTTTCCTTGCAAATTTAAGTTTTTTGGGCCTTTTCTTATTTGATCTATCGCTTAGTATTGCAAGACAAGATCAAGAACTTGTAAATGGGCTACCATTTATCACCTAACCTTAGGGTTACATTTGTTATAGATGGAATATCGTGCTGAAAGAAAAGCCAAAAAGAAAGCATATGCTCGTCTGAAGCAAATTGCAAAGCTTCAGGGGAAGAAACCCCCGCCAAATCCATATCCTAGTGCTATCAAGGAGATACAGGCTGAGGAGAGAAAGTTTGTCCACGACCGGTTCCATGATCCCAGCATACTTGAAATTGTTCAGAAACTGAAAGAGGAGAGGGCTGCATTTTTGCAGGACAGAAGCGGTTCTGGTCGCTTTTGAAATGGTAATGCTGCTTCAGGACTAACGTAATTGTTAGTAGTTCGAAGCTGATTTCTATTGTGCTCCTTATCAATAGGCTGTGGATATACCTCACTTAGTTGGGGATAATTTTTCCATAGTACGCAATAAAATTTAATTAACTTCTACCGTGACAGATATTTGGATGAATGTTGTTATGCTTTTCATTTTTATATATTTTATATACTGTTGTTATGCCAGCAATTTTTCAAAAATTCTTATTCCGATTGACATGATTATCTGCTGAGTGATATTTTCATGGAACACTGAACAACCCTTCTGGCAAATTTTTATTACCAAGCACTTGACTTTGTTTCTATTGAATGCTGGGCACTCCTGTTCTCATGTACAGGTTGTAAAATTAAATGTGAGAGATGCATCTTCTGGTTTTTCTGCACCCCCGTCTTTCATTCTTAAATCTTAATTATTCAAGTGTTCCGTAAACGAGAACCCGAATTTCTTGGATTAAATATAGACAGATGGATGTCTTAAAAGCAGATGTTGGCTACGAATCCCAGTGCCCGCCCTGAGAGAAACTTCAGTGGGGATGGTCGCACCGCGTGATGGTGCGCCTTCCCTGCTTGTTCAATCAGATTCCAAGATATCTTCCACCATATTTCTTATGTCAGAATTAGAGCATCTTTAATACAAGAATGTGCATTGTTGTACATGTGGCAAACAAAATACAGGATGGAGAAAAGATCATCTTCAATGGGATCGTGGATTGCACTAATTGTGGGCCTGCCTGTGTACAAGAGACGATGAAAAAATAATAGTAAAAATAAATTATAAAACATGTCACATCCTCCCATGAATATAAATTGTAAATTATCATGTCATAAAAATTGTAATTTTGTAATATAAAAAAAAAAAGAAAAAAAAAGGGTGCTTGATAAAATAAATTTGAAGTTGTAAAATCTCATCTTTATAAGAAATTGGGACCAGCAATATGATATGAAACGTGGTTAAAATTGAATACAAATTATTATTTTCCATGCAAAATATTTTATTAAAAAAAATGATAACTAATAAATGTATTTTACATGCTTATCAAGGCTCTACTAAAATTATGTATACATTGTGTTTGCAGGTAAAATTCTTGAGTTGGAGGTTCGAGAAAATAAAAATAAAATTCAATTGGAGCCGAATTCAGCAATAAGGATAGCATTAAAGAGTCACCATAAAGCAGGGGCTTGATTGAAAGCTTCGAAAGTGCTAACTAAATGAATTCAAAAGTTTCAGGGATTAAATTGTGAATTTGAAAAGTTATGGGATCAGCTTGACAACTTAAAACTTGTGGTAGCCAAATTTAATATAAATATTAGTTGAAGTACCAAAGTGAATGAGCTTGAAAGATGAAGGACTTCCAGAAGCAATTGGAAATGGAGGTACTGAAGTTGGATTGACTAAAAGACCGAGGGACTAAAAGTGTATAATAATGGGGGCATCCTTGTTGATTTTTAAAGGCCAAAATTAGGTCGTCCCCTTTGATTGGCCTTGTATAAATTTTTATTTTTGAACTTAGGGGCATTCTTCAATGTATGAATTTCAAGGCAATAAGGACTGCATAAAAGGCAAAATTAGGTCTAGATAACTCTACAACTTGAAAACTTCTTGGGGGAGAAATAACACAATTTTGGGGCTTCCGTGGTTTTCGAGATTGAAATAGGGTTTCTTCGTGCAAGATTAATCCTTTACGTGCAACTAATAAAGCGGTGATGCACTCTCAATGTAATAGTCATTTTTCGTCGTTTAATATGTGTAACTAACTTTTTAGTTTGTGAAAGATGTAAGCTAATCAGGACTTTTAATTTCTTTTATCAAGTTCTTTCGTTTCTCTAATCTTTTTAGTATTATTTTTGCTGCAATTCTCAATGTTCGGAGTAATTAATTGCTATTCTATTGGTTTGTGAACGCCTAAATGGTGTGAGTTATTTGTTTAAATAAATTAAAAATTAGCAATTGGATGGAAGGTAGATATACGCTTTTGCTATTGTTGCTGTCCTTGATAAGTCCATCCGCATTCCAGCTAGTTTTTAATCAAGTTTCTTCCAGCTGAAATTGTTGAATTTCAATTACTTAATGCATGCATGAAACCTCTCCCACCGCTTGGAGAAATTGAATGAAGGCAGCCGCCATTTTTTATTGGTTTATAAATTTTCCCAACCACCATTTTGCATCCTTTTTTTGTTGACTAAAATCTGAAACTGAGGCAAGGAAATGATGCATTAAATGCAACCAAACAATGCAAGAAAACAACAGGTTTTTGGCTAGAAATTTCAGTCGATTTGCAGCAAAATTTTCTTATAAATAGGGAGTGCATTTGTAGAGAATTAGATACCCCCAAAAGAGAGAGAAAAAGTCAATAGTGTAGAGAAGAGAGAAAAAGAGAGCTTAGATAGAGTTTTTTGAGAGGTTTTTTTAAGGGTTTGTAATACTCCATTGTAGAATTCTATTCAAATAAGAAATATAATTATTTTTCCTCTTTTTATCTTCTCTTTTCGTAATCGGAGAATCACAAGAAGTTGTATTAGAGCGAGGTTTATCAATTGACTCTTGTAGTTTTGATAAAGCTTTTGCAAGCCAAGATGTCAATGGAGAAATCTTTATCTGGAGCTATGATCAAGCTCTCTGCCACTAATTACACACTATGGAGGCCTTGGATGGAAGACCTCCTTAGTTGTAAGGATTTCTATGACCCCTTGGAAGCTAAAGGTGGAAACCCTGATCCTACCAAGGAGACAGAGTAGAAGAAGCTAAATAGAAAAACTATCGGTCAAATTCGACAATGGATTGACCATCGTGTTTTTCACTATGTAGCACAGGAGAGACAGATTATGCATATGCCATCTGGAAGATTCTGGAGGACATGTGCTAAGCCAAGACCACTCGAAACAAAGCCCCGTTGATGAGGCGTTTGGTGAATCTGAAGTTAAAGAGTGGAACTTCAGTTGCTAAGCACAACAGTGAATTTCAGAGGTTGATAAACCAATTGCCATCTGTGGAGATACCGCTTGGGGATGAAATACAAGCCTTACTACTTTTAAGTTCTCTTCCTGATAGTTGAGAGACATTAGTAGTATCTCTTAGCAACTCAGCTCCTAATGGAAAATGTAACATGTCTATGGTCAAGGATGCCCTATTTAATGAAGAGGCCAGGAGAAAAGACGTAGACACGGACCAATCACATGCTCTTATCACAGTGAGCCGGGGAAGACAGCAAGTAGGCGTTGAGGCTGGGAGAGAGGCAGAAGCAAAAGTAGGGGTAGATCTATAGATGGAAAGAAGCCTACTCAAATACTACAATTGTGGTATGGAGGGCCGCTTGAAGAAGAATTGCCGAAAATTGCTACGAGAGCAAGGACACAACAATTCGCAACCGAAGAGTAAAGAAGGAGAGACACTAGTCACTATTTTTTGGGAGGTGGCTATCTGCTCTATCCATGAGGAGACATGTCTTCATGTCTCAAACCAAGGTATTGAGTAGGTAATAGACACTGCAGCATCTTACCACGCCACTCCACGTAGAGATTTCTTCACAACATACAAAGCTGGTGACTTTGGTGCAGTGAAGATGGAAAGTACCAATTCTTCTAAGATCGTGGGAATTGGTGAAGTCCAGATACAAACAAACCTCGAGTGTAAAATAACCTTGAATGATGTTCGACATGTACCTGATCTTCGGCTAAATCTACTTTCAGGGATAGCCCTTGACAAACAGGGCTATGTCAATCACTTTAGTAATGGTACATGAAAAATGATGAAAGGTTCCATGGTTGTCGCTCAAAAAGATATATGTGGCACTTTATACAAGACTCCTGTGAAAATGTATGTGGATAGCCTCAACATAGTAGAATGTGAAGTTTCTCAAAATTTGTTGCACCAGAGACTTGGCCACATGAGTGAGAAGGGATTGTCTAGTTTGACCAAGAAAGAGCTAATCACGGTTGCCAAGGGAGCTGTACTGGATCTTTTCAGTCACTGTCTATTTGGTAAGCAACATAGGGTCTCCTTCAATTTCTCTTTGACGAGACAATCAGAGTTGCTCAATCTGGTACACTTTGATGTTTGTGGTCCCTTGGAGGTTGAATCACTAGGTGGTAACAAGTATTTTTTGACATTCATTGATGATGCTTCTCGAAAGGTGTAGGTATATTTCTTGAAGACGAAGGACCAAGTATTGGATTACCTCAAATCACTTCATGCCATGGTACAGCGTGAAATAGGAAAGAAACTGAAATGTCTCCGCACAGATAATGGAGGCGAGTATACTTTCAAAGAGTTTGATGCCTATTGCAGGACATACGACATTCGACATGAGAAGACAGTCCCACACACCCCACAGCATAATGGAGTCGTCGAGAGGATAAATAGGACGATCATGGAAAAGGTCAGAAGCATGATAAGTATGGCTAAGCTGCCAAAGCCATTTTGGGGAGAAACTGTTCAAACCGCCTGCTACCTGATCAACAGATCACCATCAGTACCGTTGAATTTTGAGATTCTGAAAAAAGTATGGTCTAGTAAATATCCGTCCCCTTCTCACCTGAGAGTATTCAACTGTTTAGCATTTGCACATATATCCAAGGAGCTAAGACAAAAACTAGATGCAAAAACCATTCCATGCATCTTTATAGGCTATGGAGATGAGGAATTTGGATACAGACTATGGGACCCAAAGACAAAAAAGGTCATCAGAAGCAGGGACATAGAGTTTCATGAAAACCAGACAATGGAAGACATTGAAAAGCGTACAATATCTCCTAATTTCAATTTTGGTGCCCAGAATATTGCTCCAGATCCAGCACCAACACAATTCACCATAGATAATGACGATGTGCATGAGGAAATGCCGGAAGCAGAACAGGAGGATGAAAAAGAAGATATTGATCAGGGTGAGTCACAATCCTCTTCACAGCAATTGTCGGACCATCACATCAACCAGATGATGATGTACCTCCTGAAACCAACGATCCACAGGTAAGAAGATCTGAACAAGGATGGATTTCATCAACGAGATATCAAGAATCAGAGTACACTTTGCCCATTGGCGAAGGAAAACCAGAGAGCTTTCAGGAAGCACAAACTCACATGGACAAAGACAAGTGGATACAAGCAATGCAGGATGAGATGGAGTCACTGTAGAAAAATCAAACATATGAGTTGGTTGAGCTTCCGAAGGGAAAGAAGGCATTAAGAA